TTTTTCCCTCTCCTTGGTAGTGCTGGGCATTGAATCTAAAGCCTCACACATTCTAAATACATACTCTACATTGGGCTACACACCCAAGCCTAAGACAACTTTCTATAAACCAGAAGCATATCGTCACTGGCACCTTCTGCCCATGCCCTAGGAGAACAACATTTATGCTCATTGTAACCACACGGTCTACATGGTTTTCTTATGGAAACCTGAATGGACTAAGACAATCTCTATAATTTTCTTAAAATGTCAGCATAGGCTCATGGACTCTTTTTTTAAATTATTTATTTATTTATTTGTGAGACATGGTCCCACTACACAGTTTGACTTGCCTTGAGCTTGCTAGGTAAATCAGGGTGTTCTTGAACTCATGGAGATCCGCCTGTCTCTACCTTCTGAGTGCTGGGATTAAAGATGTGTACCACCAGGCCCCATCTGGATTCTTCTTTCTCCTCCTCCTCCTCCTCCTTTTTGTTTTGTTGAGACAGGTTTCTCTGTGTAGCTGTGGTAGTCTGAAAGTCACTGCCCCCATAGGGAGTGGCACTATTAGGAGGTGTGGCTTTGTTGGAGTGGGTATAGCCTTGTTGGAGGAAGTGTGTCACTGTGGGAGTGGGCTTTGAGGTTTCCTATGCTCAGGGTATCGCCCAGCATATCAGTCGACTTCCTGTTGCCTATGAGATGTAGGACTCAGCTATTCCTCCAGCACCATGTCTGCCTGCATGCTGCCATGCTCCGCTTCATGATGACAATGGACTGAACCTCTGAAATTATAAGCTGTCATCTCAGTTAAAAGTTTTCCTTTATAAGAATTGACATGGTCAATAAAAACCCTAAGGTAGAAGTTGACACCAGGAACTGGGGAACTGGGGTATTGCTATGATAGGCTGGACCACGTGCTTGTTTGGAGAAACTGAGACTTTGGGGCTTTGGGTTAGGAAAGCAGTGGAATGTTTTAAGCACTGCTTAATGGGCCATGCTAGTAGGAGCATGGAAGACAGAGGTGCTAAGAGTTATTTGAATGACAGTGACTCACTCAAGAGGTTTCAGAGGAGAAGAATTTTAGGATGTTGCCTAGAGATCTTTCTTGTGATATTTTGGTGAAGAAAATGATTGCTTTTTGCTCTTGTCTGAAGACTCTGCTGTAACTGGGTTTTTCTTTGGGCCGCCAGCTCATAAACAGTGACATGGAGACTTCTTTAATTATGAAAACTTGTCCTATAGCTTAGGCTGTTCCTAACTAACTCTTATACGTTAAATTAATCCATTTATATTAATCTACATTATATCACATGCATTACCTCTCTTACGTCTTGCACCTCCTGTTTCTTCTCTGTGTCTCTGGGTGTCACAAGCCTAGATTCTTCCTCCTCTTCCTTTCTCTCCCTGGAAATCCTATACCTCCTGCCTAGCTATTGACCGTTCAGCTCTTTATTAAACCAACTAGAAGGTGCCTTAGCAAAGACATATCTTCACAGTGTACAAATATTCTGCAACAACCTGCCTTAGGCTAAAGTGAAAAATTTTGAATTAATTCCATTGGCAGAGGAAATCTCAAAACAGCCTAGTATAGTCTCTGCCATGTAGATATTAGTGGTAACTCTAAAGAAGATTTATAATGAAAAAGAGCAAGCTGATCATGGTAAATTACAAAATGTAAGTTCTGAGGAGAAAGAGAGCACCAGTAAGTAGAATAGAGCTAAATTCTGTGTTCAACGAGATAAATGGATTAAGAAATGGAATAAAGAGAGTGGTGACCTCAGGGCAAGATCCCACCCAGGTAAGTTTCCAACTTGTGGAAAGGAACTAAAGAAAAGCTTAGAGCTGTATGTGGTGGCACACACCTTTGATCCAAGAACTGGCAAGGCAGAAGCTGATGGATCTCTGAGTTTGAGGCCAGCCTGGTCTGCAGAGCAAGTTTCAGGACAGCCAAGCTTAGGCAGTGAAGGACAGAAAGAAAGCTGGTGAAGATGTAACTGAATGAGGGGCCATGTTCCAGCCCCAGTAAGCAGAAGAGCTTGGCAGCTTTGCATACATGGTTCTGGCTTTAGAGTCAAGGATAGAAGAAATGAGTTATGGAATTTGCCCCATGCCTAAAGCCACCAAGGCCAGGCCTGTGTCAGGAGTGTGTCAGGGATGTGTCAGAGGTGTGCCCGAATGGAGGCCTAATAGAGAGAACATTGCATGAAGCTGTGAAGTTGAATCCTGGGTTGCTTTAGAGACCCCCAGATGTTGGAGATGCCAGAGTCCTGGGATACCTGCTGAGGAAAGCGGCTAACAGGGAGTGCAACTAGCCTAAAAGAAAGAAGTGTGTTGCAGTCAACAAAGCTGAACAGAGTTGGAGATCTGAAGAACGTTTTGACACCAGACATGGAGATACAGAGTTTGGAGTTTGCACTGCTGGTTTTTGGTCTTGCTTTGGTCCAGTATTTCTTCACTATGGTCCCTTCCCTATATTTTCGAATGGTAATGTATACTCTATAAAATATGTACAATATTTTGGAAGTATGTGACTGCTTTTTGATTTGATTTTAATGGGGATTACAGTTGAGGTTGCATGAATCTCAGAAGAGACTTTGAACTTTTAAACGTTGCTGAGACTGTTAAAGACAATGGGGACTTTTGAAGTTGGGCTAAATGTATTTTGCATTATGATATTGTTTGTTACAAGCTTATGGAAGCCAGGGAGTAGAATGTAGTGATTTGAATTTAGTTGACCCCCATACTCTCATAGGGAGTGGCGCTATTAGGATGTGTGGACTCAGGACTTTTCTGCTGCCTGCAAGATGTAGGACTCTCAGCTACTATTACAGCACCCCATGTGCCTGCACGCCGTCTTGCTCCCCTTTGTGGTGATAATGGACTGAACCACTGGAACTGTAAGCCACCACATCAGTTTGATGGTTTCCTTTTTAAGAGTTGCTGTGGTCATGGTGTGTCTTCACAGTGATAAAAACCAACTAAGACAGTAGCCCTGGCTGTCCTGGAACTTGCTCTCTAGACCAGGCTGGTCTTGAACTCAGAGATCTGCCTGCCTCTGCCTCTGTCCCCCAAACGCTGGGATTAAAGTTGTGTACCACCATAGCTCTGCATTTTGGATTCTCTTTTTTAAAGATTTTTAATTATGTGTATGTGGGGGGGGGGGGAGAAGGGCAGGGCTTTGTGTGCCTGCAGAGACCAGAAGATGATGTTGGATCTCCTGAAGCTGGAGGTGTGGGATGAGCTGACAGTATAGCAGATACAGTATGAATATATAGGTTTCCATACATCAAAGAAAATAAACAAGCATACCATTATGAGCCACAGGATGTAGGTACTGGGAACCAAACTTAGGTCCTCTGTAGGAGCAGGAGAAGTGTTAACTATTGAACCATTTCTCTAGCCCCTCATAGAGTCTTTATAATTCAATAGGTTATTATATTATAAACTGCTGCAATGTGCATAATAAGCAATCATTTAAAATTATTATTTCATATATGCCCTAATTTGAACAGAGGAATCTTTTCATAGGGCTTAGGTGCCTCTTTGGCTTGGCACGAGCAATTTATAAGCACTTTGCTCAAGAGGAAACATGCTAGGATTGCTCTCTGCTTTCTTTGATCTGGCTATGCTAACAGCCATTTCTTAGCAGAATGTTGTAGTGGAAACAGTTTTCACCAAAATCTGAGCATTAGCTGTGTTCATGGTCACTGGGATGAATTATCAGTATAATAGATCCAGTATGGATATATGGGTTTAGATACAGCAGAGAAACAAACAATAAATATACATATGCACACACACACACACACACACACACACACACACACACACACACACACACGCACATACCCTGCTACCTCTAATTCCAGTCCAGTGCCACACTACTGAGTCCTTTTGGATTCTGCTTTGTGTGATGGTCAGTGCAAGTTTCTCTTAGAAACTGATACATGAGATGAACTTGAAATAATATTTAAGAGCCAGCCATGCAAAACTCTAGAAACAGATGTTTAGAGTCAGAAGGAAGAGCAAGCCCAAAACCCGAGGCAGAAATAAAGAGCGTTTGAGAAGCAGACCAGCCAATGTGGCCGGACTGTGTTGACTTTCCAATGAAGTCAACCCACCAGGAAGGAAAGGCTGAAAATGAAACTACCTATGACAGAGCAAAGACGCTTAGTAGTGCTTTAGTCAACTAGGAAGATGCCAGAAGGTTTTAAGAGGAGGCTGTGGTAACTTTCTTTCAAAATATGACTGTGGTTATTGCATAGAGTAAGCTGTTAAAGAAGCAGAGGGAAGGTGATGAGGCCTGCAGTCATCTAGGCAAGAGGGAGGACACAGATGGGAGCAGCAGATGATGCAGAAATAGAATAACAAATCGGTGTATCCGAGGGTAGAGACGCACCGATTCTGAACCCTCAAGGGAATTCTGGATGTATATGTCTATTGTGTGCTGTTCTTGCCTTAAGTTCTGAAGCTGAGACACTGAGGAAAAAAATAAATGGGCAGGAGAGATGGCCCAGTGGTTAAGAGCACCGGCTGCTCTTCCAGAGGACCCAGTTCAATTCCCAACACCCATATGGCAGCTCACAACTGCCTGTAACTTCATTTCCAGGGGATTTAACACCCTTACACAGACACGCATGAAGGCAAAACACAAATGCATATACAATAAAAATAAATAATAAAAAATAAAAGCCAGGGCTGGAGAGATGGCTCAGAGGTTAAGAACACTGGCTGTTCTTCCAGAGGTCCCGAGTTCAATTCCCAGCAACCACATAATGGCTCATAACCATCTGTAATGAGGGCTGGTGCCCTCTTCTGGCATAAAGGTGTATATGCAGGAGGAGCATTGTATACATAATAAAATAAATCTTGGAGAAAAAAAAAAAGCCAGTAAGGGCTAAAACCACTTTATGGTAAAAACAAGAAAAGCAAGATTAGTAAGGACTTGGTAGGAGACTAGAAGCTCGTAAGTCAGCTTTAACTTCTGATTTCACTGTATAGTAGGCTTCAAGAGAAAAGATTTATTCAGTATCACATGGAAGGTTGTGTATGCCAGCCTCTGTGTTTCTCTGTGAAAACATTTCCTCAGTGTTTTCATCTTTTTGAATGCCACAAAATGTCACATTCGTTGTGTTTCTAGGCCGTTCTTCTAATGAGACGCTTGACAGGTATGCTAACACCTTTTCTGCTAGAGGTTCCCCAAGTAAAGGCTCTGGGGGAGTCTTGACTTCTAGAGAGTCATTCGAGAACCACTCATTAGCTGCTTCCATGCTCCAGCTGAAGTGAGAGCTAGGGACCGACACTGTCACACTGCTGCCCTTTTCTACTGAGAGCATGTCAGGGGACTCTCCGTCCACAGGGTCCGGAAGGCAGAGTTCATCTTTAGAGTTGACTGCTGTTAAGGAAAAAAAAAGTCTGCTGTGAATATTACATATTGACAAGTCAAGTCTTCTGTTTCTCTGAGACACGGTTTCTTTGTGTAGCCCTGCCTGTCCCAGAACTAGCTCTGTACACCAGACTGACCTCAAACTCAGAGATTGCCTCTGCCTCTCGGGAGCTGGGATTAAAGGTGTGGACCACAATGCGTGCCTTTTTCAGAATTACTATGCATTTATCTGTTTATCTATGTACTTATTTATTTTGCTTTTTTTGAGACAGGGTGTCACTGTGTAGCTCTGGCTTTCCTGGAACTAGCTCTGTAGACCAAGCTGGTCTCAAACTCAGAGGTCCACTTGCCTCTGCCTCTTCTAGTACTGGGATTATAGATGTGTGCCACCATGTCCAATGGACAAGCCAAGTCTTTTTTTTGTTTGTTTGTTTTTTGTTTTTTTTTTTAAATTTTTTTTAT